TAAGAAAAAATGTGCATAAACTGTGATGGAAACACTTTTACCAAACAAACTTCAATCTGCGCATTAAAAACGTCATGTGATTTTGGTGTAAAAGATCATGTGATGATGAAAATGTGTGTGAATGGACAAACCAGCAGGCTGAGGACATTGTAAAACATCTAAAATGTTGTTTTGCTTATTCTAAAAGGCCTTAATCATTTCAGTATTAGTGTTACTATATTAGGAATAACCTCCAGAATCAGGAGAGTCTGTGCTCCTAGTCTTACACCTTAAAAATGCCATAGAGCGTTCACTGCACGTCAGGATTGCCTGCTGAGGCACAAGTCATTTATTAAATGAAGAAAAGATTCACGCAGTTTCCCTAATCATGTGATGATGAAAATGTGTGTGAATGGACAAACCAGCAGGCTGAAGACATTGTAAAACATCTGAAATGTTGTTTTGGTCATTCTAAAATGCCTTAATCATTTCAGTATTAGTGTTAATATATTAGGAATAACCCCCAGAATCAGGAGCGTGTTCCGCGTCTTACGCCTTACAGATAGAGCGTTCTGCATGTCAGGATTGCCTTCTGAGGCACAAGTCATTTATTAAATGAAGAAAAGATTCACGCAGTTTCTCTAATCACAGCAAATTCCATTTTTCCGTTGATATTTGGCGCCAGATAATCAGGAAGTGACAATTTTGTTCACTTTGACTCATAGGATGGAAACGCTGCATTATTCGCATACTGACTTGACCCAGAAACTTGTTTAGATGATGATTCAGTTCATCCAGTTCAACCAGTTTAAAAAGAATAATTCATGTGGAGACTCTGTGACTTTTGTCAAAATCAAAACTGCAATAGGAAAAAAATACTCAAGAAGATTAGGGGGTTGTAATAGTAGCAACTTATTAATATTATTTTAAATTGTGATTTTTTTAAATTAATCATTCATTGATTTTCTTTTCGTCCCTTTATTAATCCAGTGTCGCCACAGCAGAATGAACCGGCAACTTATCCAGCACATGTTTTACACCGCAAATGCCCTTCCAGCTGCAACCAATCTCTGGGAAAGCTTTATTAAGTTGATATTGAGTTAGAACAACTCTTTAGCCAAAAACCCTCATAAAAGTGCATTGTATTATTATCTCACAGGAATATTTGGAGCAGCTGTGCTCCCAAAGAGCAGTCTCGCATCTCCAGAACCTACCACATGTTAATTGTGTTTTGTCTTCCTTCTTAAAGGTGCTTTTTTTATTAAAAAGGCCCACACAGGCTTCTCCTACTTCTTTCTAAAGATTGCTGCCAGTTTTTCAGGTTCTCTTTATATGGCTCATTATATGGCTTTTTTATTTACGTGATATTCCAGTTTTGCAAATAAGTTAAATTAGCATCTTTGGATAAAAACTGATGTCTGGATGGAAACAGCTAATGGCGTCTCACATGTCTCATAGTGCAAAATTCTCAAGCCAAATACGAGTATCACATCCTAACAGAACATTTGTCCTATTTTAGGACACACAATACTGTATACCATGTAACAACTTACCTTCTCTGTGCTTAATCTGAAAAGATATGAATGAAAAAAAAAATTGACACAATTAAAACACACACAGAAAAAATCATTAGAATAATATAGAAAAGGTGTGACGATGGCTCAGTGGGTAGCACGATCGCCTCACAGCTAGAAGGTTGCTGGTTTAAGCCCCGGCTGGGTCAGCTGGCATTTCTGTCTGGAGTTTGCCTGTTCTCCCCATGTTCATGTGGGTTTCCTCCGGGTGCTCCGCTCTCCCCCACAGTCCATAGACATGCGGTACAGCTGAATTGGGTAAGCTAAATTGGCCGTAGTGTATGTGTGTGATTTGAAGTGTATGAGCATTTCTTAATGATGGGTTGCAACTGGAAGGGCGCCCGCTGCATAAAACATATGCTGGATAAGTTGGCGGTTCATTCCGCTGTGGCGATCCCTGATGAATAAAGGGACTAAGCCGAAAAGAAAATGAAATATAGAGAAATATATACCAATGCTATGCTATATCGCACTTCACATCACTGTTCAGCACAATGGTTTCACTCTCCTTCCAGCTTTGCATGGCCTGCACAAGGGTGGTTTGTTGCTTCACTGACTAAAAAGCAGAAGCAACAGAGCACTGTAAACTAGCTTGTGTGCATTTAAAATAGTTCAGTTTTTAAATCTGTGCATATTCCACTCATGTACATGCACATTTATCCAAGCATGAACAGCACGTGTTCACCAGAATAGCAAAACCCACTAAAATAATGTGGCGACAGAACATTTCTATGTAGCATGCTGTTTATGCCCCATCAATATTAAGTGATTTTTTTTTTTAAATGCCTTAAAAGATTGCTTTACATTATTTATTAAAATAAAAACTAAGCAGCTTTGGTTTGGAACTAAGTGAATCCAGAATGTTAGGTTTGGCATACAATTTTCATTTTGATGTATCCTTAATTAAATGCGCCTCGGTACAGCAGCTCATATCCATTATTCCCCTCACACATGCACTTGTCAGCTCATTGCATTATAGGTCATTGCTGTCTTCAGTAGTGATGCTGAAGTGATGCTCCATTTCTTTTCCAACCGTGAAACAAACAATAGCCCGGTTCTCAGCATCTGAATCTGCCAGGACCTTCCTCAAATTAAAGGGCTCCACTCACTTTACTCACTTAATGCTTATTGATTACAACAAAAAACATAGACTCACATAGGGCAATTCTGAAAACATAGCCCTGTAAAAGTTTCTGTAGATTACGAATTATGTAGCCAGAAGTATGTATGGCTGCATTTCATCTTTAAAACAATCGCTATGGGGCGGTATGATGCTGTTCCTTTTCGCGCTTACCAGCTGACCACTTATCTACATGTGGATGGTTTTCTCGCTGTTACCAGTTTGTCCAGTTAGCTCATCATGTAGGTTGATGGACTTAAAGACGCAGAGATGAGTTGACTAGACGGGATTTAAGACTGGTAAGGAACGGTTCCAGAAAGCAGGTAAGGCCAATACAGGATCCAAAAAATAAAATAAACAAGTAAATAACAAGGTGAGAATGTGGTAAAGACTGAAAAAGTGGTAAAAATCCGCTGAGGGCTTTTCTTTTTCTGGACTTCTTTTAAAAATGTTGATTGGGTGTAAGAGAATGAGTGGATGTCAATCTGTGCTTTTAAAAATACTATTGGTTGGGTTTAGGGAAGGAGGAGTGTGGGTCAGTGAATCGATAAGTCGGTCGGTCGGACGGTCGGTCGGTCGGTCGGTCGGTCGGTCGGTCAGTCAGTTAGTCAGTCAGTCAGTTTGTCAGTCAGTCAGTCAGTCAGTCAGTCAGTCAGTCAGTCAGTCAGTCAGTCAGTCAGTAAAAACAATCAGTCAATAGCAGCCTCTGATGCACTTGCGAGAGAATTTTTATATCTCGAAATGCATACATAGCAGGCTCTGGTGGACATGAAAACAAAAACTGCAAAAAAAAAAAAAAAGTAGCTCCTATAATGCATTTGGGTATAAAAATGTATATAGAGGTACATTTTCAGAATGATCTTGGGTTGAAAAAGTAGCAACAAGGGAACCTCAAAATAATTTACCTGAAAACTAGGATAATTCCCCAAAATCAATCTGGAAAAGGATGCAAAAAACTATCCCAAAGGTTTAAAGTCTCTATCTCCACAGTCAAAAATAGAGTAAGAATGGAATAAAAGGGGTGAGAATAGTCACAGACAAACAACAAACCACCCCCAAAGAGCAAATGACTAATTATTTTGAGAACTGCATTTACTGTTGTGCAAATGTAAAAAGTGTTATGAGAAATGCACCAAAATCACTAAGAAAAACTGTAAATTGCTGATTAAAAAGGCCAGTAGGCTATGGCTTGCACTTGAAAATGATCAGGGGTGCCCAAACTTTTGCATAAAACTGTATATGGGTTAACAGGATGTGCTAGATATACAGTCAGCATAGTCAAAGATAACAAGAAGCATGTATGTGCAAGTAAACGTGTGTGCAAGAGCAACAGCGTGTATATGGCCTAATTCTTGTTTCCCCCATTGTGGGTTTCCTTATTAACCAAGTCGTTGCTACAGCAGATCAGTGCTATTTATTCTTTCAATTAACTGCGTAGAGTGTAACTCGTAATCATTTATCTGGCTAATAGAGTTTTTGTTGTTTTATGCAATGAAATAGTTTAATTATTAATTCGTTAAGGAAGCTAGAGAAAAATTGTAATGATTTAAAATTGAATTCACCAAATATATGAATGTTATAAAGGATTTCCTCTTAAATTTCATGAATACCTAAATTTTATAATCCTCATGTGAGAAACCATAATATTATTCTACATATATTTCTAATTCATGATTGTCAACAGGCGATGCAGTGGCGCAGAAGGTAGCGCTGTCGCCTCACAGGAAGAAGGTCGCTGTTTCGAACCTCGGCTGGGTCACTTGGTGTTTCTATGTGGAGTTTGCATGTTCTCCCTGCGTTCGCATGGGTTTCCTCCGGATGCTCCGGTTTCCTCCAAAGACATGTGGTACAGGTGAACTGGGTAGGCTAATTTGTCCGTAGTGTATTTGTGTGAATGAGTGTGTATGGATGTTTCCCAGAGATGGGTTGCAGCTGGATAAAATATGTGCTGTATAAGTTGGTCATTCATTCCGCTGTGGCGACCCTGGATTAATAAAGGGACCAAGCCGATAGAAAATGAATGAATTATGGTTAACATTAGTTAATGCACCGTGAGTTAATATGAACTAACAATACCAACTTTCATTAACAAATGTTAACTAAGATGAACACATACTGTAAAAAAAGTATTGATCATCGTTTGCTCATGTTATTAAATGCATTAACTAACATTAACTAATACAACCTCATTGTAAAGGGTTGCCATATATTTTAGCTAAAAATATTATAGATATGGCTTTAAATGTGAGCACATACCTGTAGGCACGTGTAGGACATTTTTCAGAAAATAAAAGTCAAAATACACCACAGAAGCATGCAAAATCATAGCTGATTAAACATGTACAATACGTTTACTGTATGAAAAATTACTCACATATAGTCATTTGAAAGGTTATTCATATACCACAGTATAAAATGTATAAAAAACAAACATATAGCTTTTTAAGTGAAATACAAATTGAGAAAATTTTACAGAAACTATAAAAAATGTTGGTGTACTTACAAAAAAAAAAAAAGAACAACAACACAAAATGCTTATAAAAAAGCACCACAAATACATTTTTTTAGATTAAATGCACATGCTTGGCTTCTTGATGCACTGAGCCACAGTGAGCTCAAACAACAACACTTAGTTTTCACATTGTTAGCATATAAAATGTGTAAAGTACTAGATTGTGTGTTCACAGATAAAATTTTCATAAAACTTCAAAGAAAAGCAATGAAAATCATTTACTGGCAAAGATAACAGAAACAATATAGTCTTTTGAAGTGAACTTTGCCACTTTGCATTTTGACCGATGTCAGCTGTTTGTAGAAATGAGTGTGTTCACAGTCTGTTTTTTGTCAGAAAAGTGTCAGAAACTTGGCCTGTACAACTGCTTGCTTATATATGGCAAGCTGAGACACTCATTTTATTAAACACAATTCTTAAGCCCTTCTTCCACCCACTAAACAGTCAGTTTCATTCTTTCAATCACAGATGTTTTTACTCTCTAAGGACACGTTGTATTGCTGTGTCCATTTGAATTGCTCACAGTCTGTTTATCATCTTTCGTTTCCTGGGAACTTTCACTTTTGGTTTGAATGTTCATTTCATGATGTTGTTGTTGTTGTTGTTGTTGTTGTTGTTGTTGTTGTTGTTGATGTTGTTGTTGTTGAGATGAATCTGCCCTCCGAAGCACCAAAAAGGACAGAAGGAAACAGACGAAGCCACCACATATAAAAAATATCTGGAGTCCCAGGAATCTGTGTAAAAAAAAATGATATATAAAGTCAGAACGTTAACTGGACTGAAAATATCTCAACCTGGGGTCCATTCTTCGTACCTCGCTTAAATGATCTAAGATGATTTGGTAAATCCTGGATCTTTTAATCTTGATAACTGATCTCTGGCTATTTTGGTTTTTTAAACAAGTTCACGAATCAGATTAAAATGAACTGATCTGAGATTCCTGCATGTGTTGTGAAGGACAGCTCTACTGATCCTCAAAATCATGATCAGCAATGCAACGACTGGCTGAGGGCACATCAGAGTCATGACATTATCAATATTAATAATTCAATTATCCATGTGAGAAATTATATAAAATATGAAGTAAACGGTTTGTTAAATATTAAACTTTTCACATTTGTTGTGGACTGCAGACTTTAGACTTTTAATGTTCAAGAGTGTTTAGCAATTTGTTTAGTTTCACAATTAGAGCAGATTTTCCAGTAGCCTAGGCTTATTCAACTTCAATTTTAGTCACCGTAAGGAATAACTGTTTAACTGACTGTTGACTGAATGACTGTCAAAAAAGCCATGCAAAAAAGAATGTGCATGACGGAATAAATTATTATTTCTTAAAAAGAAAACCTGTTGAATAATGTGCATGTCTATTATCATACACAAATTGTACTAAAGCTAACGTACCTTAAAATAGTACTCATTTGTATCTGAAAGTTCATAATAATAAATGTTCTCTTTGAAACCCTTGGGGAGAACCACACCATGACAGTCTTTGTACTTATATATATAATAAATCTTTAAAAAATTAAAAAATATACAATATTTTATTTATATCAAATTTTTTAAAACCATTTTCTATTTTTCTGTATATAACTTCTACTGTAAGAAAACATCAGAATTCGGTATATACTTTCAGTAATACCTTTGCTTAAAAAGACCCAATCTAATCTTATTTACATGAAATAAGCCCGCTCCCGAGCAGGTTTGAGCTACCTGAACTGTTGCTTTAACAACAACTTTCGGATGAGTTTTGAAGTATGAAACAATCCTGGGTTGTGTCAAATAACCAAATCCAGCTGAGTGATCCACACATGAAGAACAGACCCCTGGTGAGAGTGGTCTGGTTTAAAGGGGGTCATAAAAACAAAATGGCACCTTTTTAACCTAGCTTAATGTTTAATATTGTCTTGAAATTTGCAATGCTCAAAGTTCAGTAAAAAGGTAGATATTGTCTTTTAAAGAATGAGTATAGGAATGCCTACAGTGAAACGACTACAATTAAATAATTCTAAGTTTGTGACATCACAAACCCTTCAGTTTATACACCCCCTTCACCTGAGAATATGCGATGAATGGGGGTTAGAAAAAAGGTGGGCAGCTTCAGGTAGTAAATATGCTGTCACTTGGAAGACCTCTTTGAGGCATGCTGGATTTAGAAAGTAACAGCAAATATGTAGACTATGGCAACACTTTACTTAAAGGGGGTACCATGAATTCTTTATAATAATACATGACATGTGATGAATATGAATGAGATTTTACGCAGGATGACGTTGTTTGGGTTTGTCTTTGTCATGGCAACTTGACAATCCTAAAACAACAACACTTCTCTGTGTTTTTGTCATGACAACTTGACCTTACCAAGACAACATAACTTGTTATAAATCTGTCATAAACATGACTGCCATAAGGCCATTGTAATTGTCTTTCTATGTATTAATGTTTGGGTACTATGGGCTGTGGTAAACTGCAGAACCCAAAGACATGCAGGTAAGTTTAATCGAAGATAATAAATGGTCCTTCCCCTGACTTGTGAGAGACTTGGTTCTTGCCATAGATATAGCCATACAAGCTAGAATTGCATAAAGAAGAAAATAAGGGAACACTTTATTTTGAGTATTTGTAGACTGTTTGCTCCTCCAACAGACATTTAACTGACTATAATAACAGTTTACTTATAATCTAATGAAAATTAGTTGCAATGTAACCTAAATTCAATAAACGGACCATCAAAATAAAGTGTGACCGAAAATACAAATAAATTAATCCGCAATGTAAGCAAGTTCAAAGCCAGTTTGCACAACAGCTTTTCCTCAATGATGTACTGTAGCAGTTCACATCATAAAGACAGAAGCTGTGGATTATGGGTCACAACTGTTCTTTGTTGATGCATTTTCCGCTAAATGTTTATAGCATTGGTTTCTAGCATAAATGAATGTTGTGGCAAAGATGTAAGCAAAAGGATCTGCTTCATTATTTTGCTGATATCTGTCAAATGCCTATAATCGCCTACAATGCTAGTTTTTATTCCAGCAAGCTTCGAATGCTGGTGTGTTTTGATATTTATGTCATCACGGTGTAATTGTAATTATAGGTTTTATGCTTTTTTTAGCCACAGGCATGTTAACTACGGTTATGTGTTTGGCTACTGTGGCAAAACAATCAATGTGAGCGCCTGAAATTTCCTGCTATAATAAGAGGTGCAAAGTTTCCAGACAATGGAACTGGACAATTAGGTATATGGGCACTAGCCAACATGCGGCAAGCTAACCAATCAGAGTCCACTAAGGGAGAGCTTTCATAAACTGAAAATAAAGAAAGAAAAAGAAATGATTTCTGGAAAATTGTTGCAAACTATTTATATGGGTTAAATTTAAACAAACAAATTAAATGGGGTAATGATTAACTTAAACTGTTCAGCCCAAATAAATAGTTTACAACCACTTAAAAAAATGTAGCAAATCCAATGAATCCTTTTTCCAAGGAAACCATTTACTGTAAAGCAATGTACAATAAAGGCAACATTTGTGAAAAATAATGGGACTTTTTTTTTTAAATCATAGCGAACACATTGTTGTGCACCCCATGACACAGTCAAGCCGTAGAAAGTCTATTAGACTCACTTTAATGGTTTTAGAGGGGATTTGGCCAGAATGGGAAACAAATATCTGACCTTAAAAAGATCCCAATTGCATGTATTTTTAAGTAAATCCAGTGTTAGATATTTAACTTTTCATAGCAGTGCAGTTGTGAATTTACCTGTGTCTGAAAAGGTCTAAATTATAGTACAGACATGATGTTGATTTACTGCATTTCTTTCCCCACACAAGGCATGCAGTGTCGATCGCAGTACCATACAGCACTGGGGATGGGAGGAAAGCTGTCGGGGAATAAAAGGTCTTTGTTAATATACAGCTTCAATAAATTACACACATTCGTGAGTTACACAGAAAATAGTCTGTGAGAATAAAAAATGGAAAGACTCAAACATTGTTTTAACACACCTCATCCTGCACATATTATCTGTAATGAATGCTGGTAAAATGATAAAATTAAGTTATCACTTGAACTTTCACAATACTTGGCAAACTTAAATAAACAAAAACTGTTGCCACTGCACCAAACAAGGGCAGGTCTGAATATGCCCTTTAAAAAATGCACGTTGAGAAATCGTGATTAGATTGTTATTGTAGATACTGTAATGTCAGACTTCAAAAGTTCACATTTAAGGGACATGGTTCACACAAAAAATAAAACTACTGTTAAATTATTGATTCCAGGTGGTGACTTTTTTGTTCAGTTGAAGATTAAGGAAGTTTTAAGACAAATATGTGGCCCTTGGTGATTTATAAAAAAGGCATGTCAACACCTACTGGCACTTTGACAATCAATAAAACATATACAGAAAAAAACACCATTATTAACCATGGCTTTTGACAATACATAAATATCTTGTTAATAGGAAACACCTGTGTTAGTGCTGTGTAATTCTTCATGTGGCCTCTAAAGACACTGAATAGAAAAGAAAGAGCTAGGATAAAAGCGAAAAATGTGTGTTTAGTGTGAGCATGTTGCATTGCTGTTCGGTATTACTAATAAATGTAATAGTTGCAATTAAACATTAATAACTGCAATACATGTAAAGCCTTAGAATGTACAGTTGGCATTCTGCTTCCTGCCTGAGATCTAATAATGAGCAACTACTACCTTTCACAGTTATTGGTCCCACTTTATATTAAGTGTCCTTAACTACTATGTACTTGCATGAAAAAATAAATACAATGTACTTACTGTGTTTATAATGTATTTGAGAACACTTGTGGTGCTTTTGAGTTGGGATAGGGGTTGGGTTATGGACAGGTTTGGTGGCATTGGTAGGTTTAAGGGTGGGTTAAGGTGTAAGGGATGGTCAACAGTGTATTTACAAATGTAATTACAAAAGTTAACTACAAATTTATTTACATACATGTATTTAATCAAGCATAAGTACACAGTAAATACATGTATTTACACAATAAGTACATTGTAACAAACTATTAACTCCTGTGTAAGTACATATTAGTTAAGGCCACTTAATATAAAGTGGGACCCTATAATTCAACAATTTCAATGTTCTAATAGCGAGTTTAACTGCTTCAATAACTTTTTTGGTACTGATAATTGTCATGTAGCTATAGCTGTGAAACTCTTTTAATAAAATCAGGATAGATTTTGGTAACACTTTACAATAAGGTTCATTAGTAAATGCATTTACTAACATGAACTAATCATGAACAACACATGTACAGCATTTGTTAAACATAATTGAACATTTACTAATGCATTATTAACATCCAATCTCGTGTATGTTAACATTAGATAATGCACCATGAGTTAACATGAACTAACAATGAACAACTGTATTTTCATAACTAACGTTAACTAACATGAACAAATACTGTAGTAAATGTATTGTTCATGTTAGTAAATACATTAATTACCATTATATAATGAACCTTATTGTAAAGTGTGACCCAGATTTTTGACAGATTTTTGTATTGTATTAGGAAACAGCATTCTATAGATGATAATAGAGAAAATACATAATTGTGATATAAACTGGATCATATTGTATAATTTCATTTTTATTCATATTACTTTTTATTTGCTTTAATAACTTTAATTAGAGGAGCATTTTCACTGTGTTATTACAGTTTTTTTTTTCTTTTGCATTGAATGTTTTTTTTACCCTCAATGTGGGTACTTTTTGCAATACGGGTGATTATATCACAGATTGGTAAAACATCAACTACAGTAAAACTGCTTGAAGTTGTTATCTTGTCTATCATACCATCATAAAACATGTTGCTTTAATATTTTGTTGACTGTACTCGGCGTCCTTCTGGTTGGTTTGTCAGTAACATGTTTTATTAATATATGACATGTCTGTTCTGCCTGATTGACTTTCTATTGCTTACCAAGAACTCTGAACAGCATGAACTGAATTCCCACGGCAAAAGACTTATCTTCCGGAGTCACGGTCCTGGGTAAAAGCCAACAGATTTTGTTTAGTGAAAACATCACAGTTTATACACAATTTTACAGCATTTTGTGTTCAAAAATGACATTTCAATTCAATCTACTGAATGTTAGACTTTGAACTCTTTGATTTTTTTTAACATGTTCCTTGAGGCATTTTCGGAAAATAAGGGCAGGTCTGTGGCCTGTTATTACACTGATGGCAGTTTTTCGACACATTGACAGGGCTTGCACAGACAGGTTTTTGACGAAGGTAGAATGATACTATGTCATATTATTGCTGAAGGGCAAGATGCAAGACAAATGAGGGACACCTTTGGCTTTAAAATATATAGTAAAGTGAACACATTAGTCACAGCAGAGATTAGAAGATCAAAAACTAGTGCTCATTTTAACACCCTTTTTTTCATAGAATATACCATTATTCATTATTCTTATGTGTATTATGTTTGGTTCACATTTTGAATCCATGGACTAAAGAAAAACCTGTTTTAAAAAAGAGACTGCATGTATCTGTGTCAAACTTAATGGTTAATTGATGCCATTAAAGAAATGTTATAATTTACATAATTACATAATGTACATAATTCGAAGCAGATATAGTTCATTGCTCTTGTTCATAGCAACTATGCAAATGTGCTAATGCACTATAACAAGTCACATCCTGCTAAGCGAGTTCACCTCGAAAGTCTTCTTTAGACAAAAGATGTGCCACAATTTTTAAAGCTATTAGCTTTTTTAAAAATAGCAACATTAATCCCTTTAATGTTCTTCACATAAATGGATATCTCATAGATTTTCTCTTAATCAATTTAGAAAATTGGAAATTATAACATTATTCTTATTGAGTTTAATGGACTTTGCAATAAAAAAATCTTTATAATTATTAATTTTTAAATGAATGATTACATCATTTATGTACATGCTTATATAATTACCTGATTTTTGTATGTCCCTGTAGTTTTGGTGATACATAAATTTTAGATAATATGTCGAATTTCCTCTCATTTAAAAAAAAAATAGTTAACACAAAAATGAAAAGCTTGTTATTACCCTCGCATTGATCCAATCCTCTAAGTTCATTTTTGAAATGCAAATAAAGATAATTTAGATAAAATTTGACAGCTCCCTTATCCTCCACAGACCATGGCAATAGTCATGAGACTTTCAAAGTTCAGAACAGAAACCAAAAACATTCTATGTGACTTCAGTAGTAATTATAGGAAGCTCCAAGCACACACTGCTGCAAAAAAATAAAAATAAAAAAAAAACCTGTAAGCATGACTTTATACATTTACTGAACCAGGGACGGAGTGGGACTCCTTTTGAACCCTGAGGATTCAGGCCTAAGACCGGCCCACTTCAGTTCACGGCTGACTATTTTAAAATATATTTTAAAATGTCATTTCCAATTCAGTACTTGTATTTTTATGAAAATGTATTTGAACAGTTAACACAATGTAACGTTTAATAGTATCAGAATCTATTTTCTGTAAGAATTAGTGCTTATAAATCTCAGCCGGGTCAGTAGGCGTTTCAATGTGGAGTTTGTATGTTCTTCTTGCGTTCGTGTGGGTTTCCTCTGGGTGCTCCGGTTTCCCCCACAGTCCAAAGACATGCTGTACGCGTGAATTGAGTAAGCTAAATTGTATGTGTGTGAATGAGTGTGAGATGGGTTCCCAGAGATGGGTTGCGGCTGGAAGGGCATCCGCTGCGTAAAAACGTGCTGAATAAGTTGGCGGTTCATTCTGCTGTGGCGACCCTGGATTAAGAAAGGGACTAAGCCGAAAAGAAAATAAAAGAATGAACAAATGAACGAATGAATGAACGAATGAACGAATGAATGAATGAATGAATGAATGAATGAATGAATGAATGAATGAATGAATGAATGAATGAATGAATGAATGAATGAATGAATGAATGAACGAACGAACGAATGAATGAATGAATTAAAAAAGTGTGACTACTCTAAGTGCAGCCATCTAGGAACACCAGCCCTTTTGGCCAAAAAACAGACCGGCCCACCGGGAATACTCCTGGTCCTCCCAATTAGGCAATCTGTACCTGTATTGTAAAATTTGTTTGTCTACTCCCCCAAGTCAGGTTTTAGTGTATGTTTACTTAGGATAGTACAACATATTTGCCATTATAGTCAACAGTAAAATACAAGCCTTGCATTTCCAATAGTAAATGTACACCCTGGGGAGTGGAGAGCATTAGACTGATTCCAGTGACGCTCCAGGGACAGACGAATCTTCGCTGAGGCCAGCTTCCAGCCTCCACCGCTGAGACTGCAGTTCTGCACAAGACTTTTGGCCAGTGGCGAAATTAAAATGCTCGTGTCGAACTGAGTCTGGTTCTCTCAAGGTTTTTTTTCTTCACTCTCTTATTGGTGAAGTTTTTTTTCCCTCTCCGCTGTCGCCACTGGCTTGCATGGTTCAGGATCTGAAAAGCTACTCATCGATGAATTTGCTCTTCAGTGTTTGGAGTCTCAATAATGACTTCAAACCACACTGAACTGAGCTAAACTGAACTGAACTTCAACATTAAAAACTGAACTACCCTGATCCAGTTACTATGACCATTTATGTGAAGCTGCTTTGACAGAATCTACATTGTAAAAGTGCTATACAAATAAAGCTGAATTGAACTGAATTGAATTGCTCTGACAATGAATGCATGAACAACTGAACAGAGTTGATTCATGGAATGGAAGTCACATGGAATGCTTTGACAACAATTTTGATTCCGTTTTTAGACTTTGAACATTTCAGGACCTTTGCTGTCTATGAGGGATAAGAGAGCCCTCAGATTTAATCTAAAATATTTTAATCCTCATTCTTTGCAAGATGAACGAAGGTGGAAGCAAATGAAGATGAGTAATAACATAATTATACATTTTAGGGTGAATTAATTCTTTAACTTTTACTATGTCCATTTTGTGATCAAGGACATTTACAGCTCTTTCAAATAAGCAATTAAGTATTATAAAGCTGCTGAAATAAATAGTTAATTTCAGTAGAGATCATACTGACAAAAATACACTGAAACTAGAAGGTATACCTGAGGATCATCATGAAGGATGTAGTGTGGGAAAGTGAAGCCACAAAGCAAGTGAGGGAGGACAGAATCATAAAGGGAATGAGGAGATTACTACAGCCACTTGCACATGGTCCAGCAAAAGCAAAGCCTGGAGAACCACTGGATTTCACACATCCACAGTCTGTGTAGGTCTGTGGAGGATAAGCACATTTAATGTTAGATAACACAAAAGTGATTATTAGTTAGTAGTGTTAGTAGTGTCACTTTTGATCGGTTACAGTCAGACCATTGATATTTATATTTTTTACCATTGCTGTTATTTGTAGGGATTTAAAAATGGGAAAGTGGTACAGTCATATTATAAAAATAAAAAAAAAAACAGGCAGACGCTGCTGTCTTTTTCATAGTCAACAGCTTGCTGCATACCTTATCAATGAATAACAGACACTTTAATCAGCTTCTGGGAACCACAAAACCTATAAATCCAGCATCACTTCTCTAACAGAGCTTTTCCGTAAGACAGTTTTCTAAAGTTAATTTCATGCCTGGCAGATAAACATCACACTCCTTTGAAGAAAGCTTTTTTTGGTATGAGGAAGTGCTTTTTTTGTAGTCAAAGTAGGTCATAAAACTCCATGAATATAAGCAAAAGCAAAAATATCTAGAACACAAATAAATTACTGTTACATTATATTCAAATTTCATTACAAAATAATGTACTTGACAGAAAAGATTTATAATCAAAGATTGTTGTTTTTAACTGAATAAAGCTGATTTTAATTATTTTTAAAACTCAAAGTTGTGCTTTCTGAAGTTAGTTAATGCATGAATTGTGAGTTAACATGTATTTACATTTTATTTTAAATAACTTTAACTAACGGGGAGAACATGCAAACTCTGAACAAAAATGCCAACTGATCCAGCCGGGACTCCAACCAGCAATCTTCTTGCTGTGAGGCAATCGTGCTACCCACTGCGCCACTGTGATGCCTGTTGCCTGAATTATTTAAGTAAAATATTTTGAGAAGGTCTATGTATTTTATTCATTTTACATATGTAGTTTTATTCTGGTGGTATTTTTAAATGTTAGGAAAATCGAACTAAACAATCATTATAAAGAAATGAATAAAACATTAACAAACATAACTTTTTTTAGGGATTCCTAACTTCTTGTGCCCACCGCATGTCCTGCCAGCTCATCTGCTTTACCACAGGCTTTGAGGCACAGTCTGACATGCAGTTTTGCTTCAAATTTGGTTATGTTAATTAGGGATGTCAAGATCCAATCATATAATCAGAAATCAGGCAGAAATTGTTACCTCCCAATCAGGACTCTAATATATATATATAGTTGAAGTCAGAATTATTAGCCCCCCTGTTTATTTTTTCCCCAATTTCTGTTTAACAGAGGGGAGATTGTTTCAACACATTTCTAATCATAATAGTTTTAATAACTAATTTCTAATAACTGATTTATTTTATCTTTGCCATGATGACAGTAAATAATATTTTACTAGATATTTTTCAAGACACTTCTATACAGCTTAAAGTGACATTTAAAGGCTTAACTAGGTTAATTAGGTTAACTGGGCAGGTTAGGGTAATTAGGCAAGTTATTGTATAACGATGGTTTGTTCTGTAGACTATTAATAAACAAATTAGCTCAAAGGGGCTAATAATTTTGTCTATAAAATGGTTTTTAAAAAAATTAAAACTGCTTTTATTCTAGCCGAAATAAAACAAATAATATAAATATATATTTTTTTTATTCTCATTATTTTTAACACATCTATAGTTATGCGGTAACACAAACTTAGACCTCTTTCTTGACTCAAACTTGACTAGCTTGAAGCAGAAAACACGAGTATGTCTGTGGTCTGGAGGTATTATAAAGTTGATGGCGTCAGCATTGCCATAGCAAACTGTGAGATATGTAAACTTGGGCTTGCCTGCCGGGTATTTTCAGTTATGGTGCTGTTTGTTTCTATATTATTTTTTATTTTTTTATTTCATCACCTTGGAATTATAAGGTTGAGGCATTGCGCTTCAAAGTTTTTGCATTCCATAGCAAACAGTATGTGTGTAACATCTGTTTTTGTTTTTTTATAAAAAGTCTTAAAATGTAAACAACTTATTTTAAAAAAATCCTATGATATAAATAAGTTGTCATTTAATAAGAATACTGTATGTCAATAGCTCAATTTTGACAAAAATGTCAGATAGAACCTTATAATTCTAAGGTGATGATTTACCGTGAAGAATTGATGTTATTTATTACTTGATTGTTCAAGAGACCTTACAGCAGTGCTCTGTTTGTTAACAGAGTTGTTAAATGTTAAAATAAGGTGAATTAAATTAAAAATAAGGAACATCCTGAGTCTTTTTCTTCACTCTTCTTCACTCTTTTTTTATGTATTATAGAAGTATCGGATCAGATTCGGTGTCAGTAGAGACTCAAAATCAAATGACTCAGAATCAGACTCAAGGGCAAGAAAAACCTGATAGGAACATCGCTATTGTTAATATATTAGTTAATTTTAATGGTATTTTTATTTGTCAATAAACCAAGCTGAACAATCTAATTAAGTTAATGAGTATAACGAGCATGATTTGTCATTCTAGAAAATGTCTGAAAATGTTCAAGAAAATGACCACCTTGCTAGACCTCGCACTCCCCTACGCCACTATATACATGAGATGTGATGCATATTTTATCATTTAAAAACACATGAAGAACTTCTAAAATGAGCAAAGAAGTCATAAGAGTAGCAAAAGGAATTTCTTTGTCTCGCACACAAATGAAGATAGGAGACAAGTTTGAACAAAAATGCATCTTGTGATATCATGCACTGTTTTTACTTCTCATGAATGCTTTTGGTCCATATTGCATTCATATTTCAAACTGCACCAGAGTTTTTTTGAAGGTGTAAAATAGCAAATAAGTGCAAATAAACCAAACTAACAGAGTAATCTGCACCAGTAATATTTAATTGACCCAAACCTGCCAACTATAAACATAAATTGTTTTAAATAACTTATTTTTTTCTTTTGCAATGCCTTATTTTCTTTTTCTTTCTCATGTTAATTTTTGCTGAGATGGAAAGCCCTTAGAAACTGCATTCCAGTACACTGATGAGAAAATGTAATATTGTAAATAAGCCAATTTCCTTGCTGATTTTGTACAACAGGCTGATTCAGACCTGATATTAGTGAAATAAAGAACGTGCATTCTGTGATGACCAGCAGAGTGTATCCCAAAACATCCCAGCATGTTCTTTTAACAGTGGATCTGCTTTCCAGTAGACAGAGGCTGTTACTGTGTGTTACAAGTGCAAAGGTTGTTGAACTTTTCTGGAAGGCTGTGGGGGAGTGATATCCCCCATGCTAGGTTTATGTAATGTATCTGCGTCTTTGCTGCTGCAGTCTGCCGCCATGCTTTACTAAAATTTCATGCTGCATTTGTCCATTGCACTTCAGGCAAGAAATGGTCTTGGTACATTAACTTCTTGATTGTTTTAACTTGCCCAAAGGTGTGTTGTGTGGTGTTGGTTTAAATTACATTTAAATAGCTTGTAGTATATACTTTTGTCTTCCGTTTTGTTATTAATTTTTTTTTTACATAATTTAATTAGTATTTGCATTTGTGTTTACAGAATTTGTTTATATAAGTTGTTCTGTTGCAAAACTTTTGAATAAATGAATAGCTGGACTAGTAAAGTTCTCAAGATGGTGCCCTGGGAAACTTTTTGCATTTATTTGACAGTGTTGTATCATGTGTTTTTGTCTAATTTGTAGAAGGCTTACGTATATTCATTACAACTTCTAATATTGTTTCAAAAGATTTTTCAATTACTTCTTTTAAACAACAACTAAAACGGAAGTATCTCTCTCAGAATATTTTTGTCTTTATTAATAAAGTATACTTAAGTGTAAGTATACTTTGCCTACATGTATTCTTAATCTTTTACCAAAGTTAAGTATTCTGAGGCAGGCGGCACGGTGGCTCAGTGCTTACCACTTTCGCCTCAGGTCAACGGTTCGAGTCCCAGCTAGGTCAGTTGACATTTCTGCGTGGAGTTTTCGTGTTTGCCCTGTGTTTGTTTGGATTTCTTTCAAGTGCTCCGGTTTCCCTCACAGTCCAAAGACATACGGTAACAGGTGAATTGGGTAAACTAAATTGGCCATAGTAAATGTGAGAGTGTATGGGTGTTTCCCAAGTACTGGGTTGCCGCTGGAAGGGCATGCGCTGAGTAAAACATATGATAAGTTGGCGGTCCATTCATAAGGCAACCCTTGATGAATAAAGAAACTATAAGCTAAAGGAAAATAAATGAATGAATGAATGAATGAATGAATGAATGAATGAATGAATGAATGAATTAATGAATGAATGAATGAATGAATGAATGAATAAATGAAAATATTCTGAGTACATATTTACACAAAAATGCCATTTGTCGTTTGTTCAAACTTTTTATTTAAAATGAGCTAAAAGAAATATATATATTTTTAAATTTCTGGGACAACGTAATTGTTTTATGTTCAATCCACTTAAATTTGTAAAAACTCATTTCTTAGTTAATTTAATTCCTTCATGTTTTTCCAACACAAATTAATTGTGTGAAATTCAGCATTTTTTACAATAGTGTACTTAACATTTTCTCAAGGTGCATTAAAATGTATATTTCAGGTCTGAAAGTTAACACCTTACCTTCAAATACATCAACCTTTATTCGACGTTTATCCTTTTTTTCAAACATCCTGTTTCTCATCAGTTTGATTATATATTCAATTGATTACCTGAATGAGTATTTAACTTTGAATTGATTTAACTAAGGAATAAGTTAACACTGCTTACTGTAAGAATGTTCAGTGTCCTTGTTTCTCTTTTTGCCTGTCTATTTTAACTTTGTTTTCAGGAGACACACACAAACCAGGTCATAGGTCATGGAGATCTGTCTCTTTCTCCATCTGTCCCTCTGAACGGAGTGCCGATGCAGAGGAGAAAAAACACACTTGTTTTAGTTGTCCTGATATTGTCTACAATATTATAGCTGTTTGATTGATTTGTTTTTGATTATAATTAATTTTAATGTAATTCCTTTTGTATGGAGTAAGACACTGTGTGTAGTCTGGATATGGTATCAGACTGTTGATGGAAACGGTCTTGGACCAGTTTGATAACACAGCTGAACGTACAAGAAACATCCTTGAGTATTTAACATAGATGGTCTATTGTGTCTATTGTGTTCCTATTCCTATTGTGTTTAGCTTTTTCACAGGTCGGAGATCAGTTCTTAATAACTTAGGGTCGACCTGACCCCCAGGATCCATGCCGCCATCCATGTCTGGAGTCAGATACAATACTTCATTGACGCACGCATTTAGAATTGTCTATTTCTGTTGTAAGCAATGCAAACTGTTTACCTGGATCCCACCTTTTCTGAACTTGTGTAAAGAGTATAATTGCTGAGTTGTTGTACTGTAAGTCAGATCGGCCTGCGAACTCATCCGAGTGTGAAGCCCTTCTGCCATAGAACTGTAAACTATCTTGAGTACATTTTTCATTTTTAATTGCATCTTCGACTCTGAGGCTTCTCTTCATCTGACACACCAGACTTTTTATTAAACTGTTTATTTCAATCCCCAACAGGTACTACACACTGTAAAAAAACTATTAGTTGACTTTAGTAAACCCTTTGTCTTAAAACTGTTAAGTACATGAATGTGTGCAAAATTATAATTATTCAAATATGTCTAATTAACTGTTCCAAGTTCCAACAGGGTTACTCTTCAAAGCAACTAAATCTCTTTTAAAGCAGTAATGTTACTTATCACTTGTATACAATGTGTAATCTCTGCTCCATTAAATCTTGATGTCGGAAATTGTACTCTAGACTGTAGTTTAACTAATGTAGTTGAACATTTTATTTAAGCCCTTAGTGTAAAAAAGTACCTGCAGCTCAATAACTGTTTTGTTCCACAATCGACACAACAATCCCAGACTATATACCAAAAATTTCTATAAAATCCCTTGTTAGTTTTTCACTTTAAATTTGTCAGAGCAGAGATCAAGCTTCCATAATGGAACTTGAATGGATAAATAAATAGAAACCATCAATGCATCCCAATCTGGGGAAACTGTTAAAGGGCCATGAAACCCCCTCGTTTCAGCAGGGTGTTTTCACACCTCTACTTTGGAAAAAGTCAGAAAAGTGGGCGTGTCCAGCTCTGTTTAGGGGGGAGTGTCGGAGGAACTAAAGTGGGAGAGTGAGGGAGTGTCTATTTGAGCACGCGCGAGTTTCAGTCAAAATACTCACACACAGTAGAAAGTGATTTTAAAAAGTGTTTAACCTACATGGACATCTGTAGTGGAATTATTTGCCAAATTATTAAATGGTGGACTTTAACTGCAGTTTGGCTCTTTCATTCAGGCAATTAATTCATGCCCCTCGCGACAAACAAGATATTTGATTCGAGGAGCTGCTCACTTACCAAATCTGTAGAGACAGGACAATCCACAGCAACTAGAGCCGCGTCTTTATGAAGAGAATACTACAAGTGAATCCGGATCTCAGCGTTTGCAGATGAGAACAGCTCTCAGGTAAACAATAATTCTCCTTAGACGCGTAAGTTATTGTTGTCGAGCGTCGCGTACACTGTTAATCCACACGTGAGTCTGAGCTCTCACAGAGAGAAAAAGAAAACGAAACTTAACGGCAGCAAACTATAAAAGCAACACTTCACGCTTGTTTTGCCAACACAACGTGGCGTCTCTGTCGTGTAAACACAGTAATGAATATTAATGAAGTTGCACAATAGAGCGCGCTGATTGGTTTGAACCAAGCCTTACTCATGCATTAATGCATCACACTGTAAGACGTAATAAGACTCACTCTGGCACAGACGCCCAGTCTGCACGCTGGATTACACGCTATTTTGTCATGACCGTGACGCAGCTTCAAAAATTCGTTTCAAACAGGAAGTACGAATTTGCTTGAAATAACGCAAAAACAACCAATTTACACTTTTTAGTGAGATATAGGTGTCTTAATAGTGTTTTTAGCAGTGTGGGACACATATACGACTGTCAACAGCTCAAAAAAAGTGTTTTGGTGTTTCGTTTTCAGGGCTCTATCTGAAAACGTAGCTTTTTATACGTTTCTACACACCGCAAATTATGTAGCCAGAGGTACGTATGGCTGCATTTTATTTCTTAAATGAACGCTATGGGGCGTTGTGACACCGTTCACCGTTCCTTACCAGTTGATCGCTTACCTCTGTGTGGACAGCTTTCCCGCTGCAACCACTTTGTCCATTTAGCTTGTCATGTATGTCGGCGAACTTAAGACGCAGAGAGGAATTGACCACGACAACGGGTAACATTGGTTGGGTTCAGGGAAGGAGGAGGGTGGGTCAGTCGATTGGTCGGTCAGTCAATCATTCATTCAGTCAGTCAAACAGTCAGTCAACAGCGGCCTCTGGTGGGTTTACACGAGAACTTCGGGCACTAATGGCACTCACGAGAGACATTTGAGATATGTAAAAGCGCACACAGCGGCCTCTCGTGAATTTGAAAAACTGCAATAATAGGGGACGTATTTTGCGGCCTCCAGAAACGTATATATGACAAAATTTTCAGAATGAGCCTGAGTTGGTTAAATAACAAAAATGTCCAACATAGGCTCATTCTGAAAACCACCAGCCTCCGGTGGATTCATAAAAAAAAAAAAAAACATAGCTTATGGGACATATTTGGTGCTCTCCAGAAATGTATATAGGGCTACGTTTTCAGAATGAGCCTGGGCTGAAAATGCTCTAAGTAAAGTGCATATAAAATTTAAACAGCAAGCTATAAGTAAGATGTTAAATTCACTTATAAGAATACTTGGAAAAACTAATATTAATACGCTAATATTAATAAGTTTAATGTAAAGTGTAATCTCCTTAACTGAAAAAAAAGTGCTTTAAGTAATTAACTAGTTCATATAGCATAGCACAAATGCAAATATATTTATGTATACTGACATTACTTAAAACTTAAAATAAACATATTAGCTTGGGAGAACTTCAAGTATACTAATTTTTTTTTTTTTTTTTGGTAAGAAAGTGTGTTTACTTCTGCATTTTATACATCCCTCACTTTTTAAAACCCTTAAATAGTTTCTCTTCATCTTCAACCCTCTAATCGAGTGACATCAACTCTCATAATCATATATGTGGTGATTCTGTTGGTATCATGTTTCTCTTCCACATACCTCTGAACTCTGTGATTACAAGTAATGATGTTCCTAGTTCTTAACATGCCTAATTTCTAAACAAAAAGGAAGTTCAGTCATCTGGTTATCATTCAGCTACTGCGTTTATGTTGTTCAAAACTATGACTTTCTTCTCTGGAACACACACACAAAAAAAATGTTTTTTTTTTTGTAAAACATTTTCCAAAATGTTCAACTCATTTAACAAAATAAAGCATATTTATTAAAGTAAATGTTGACAGGATCTCTTATTTAGCTTAACAATCCTGTTAAACCTACTGGTTTCAAGAAAAAATTCCCTTTTTTCACTACTCACATAAAACCCTCCTTAAGTCAATTCATGCCAAGTCCTGTTCTAGCAGAACTCCCACTGTCAGCCCACCCCCCATTTTTGTGCTATGAAGAAAGTTCCCGGCAGTTCCAGTAACAGAAGTAAAATACAGCTTACCACGTTCTGTATCCTGCCTATTGTTTTTATGTTGACTATTTTACATCCCGCATGACAGGGAGAGCGAAACTCCACACCATCTGAGCCACACACGGGGTTGAAGGCTTCATCAGAACAGTAACACGAATTACTGCACTGCTGAGAATCGCTGCAAAAATAAAACAAAATAAAGGATAAAGCAAACATAATATACTGGTGCCTTACTGCAGGATATTAGAGATTAGAAAAGGATTTGCAAGTGAATAAAAAATAATAATTATAATAATATATATACTGACAAAAAGCCATAGAGGAATGTAAGGAGTACGGCTGTGCACATTTCAACCTTTTTAACCTCACTTGGTAATGCCAAACAGCTGTCAAGAGCAAGATGCTGTGTCACTTTCGGTAAACCCTCATCTCATAGCTTTATCTATAAATTGATTTCTTTATTTGAATGGTAAATGCAGATGTAATGTTTTGCTGTAATCCTCTTTCAGAGGAAAATTATATTGCTCAATAGTCCTGGAGATGTAGTCTTATGTCATGTACTCTTAACTAAAGTTAACTTGCATTTTATTTACGCCACAGAAATCTTTCACGGAAATTTTATAGGAGGTGGGGGATTTAAACAGAAATATATAATTGGTAATAGGACCCTGTGAAATAGGTTTTATTTTCCTCATGTTAAATTAATTTTTTTTTCCCTCAAATTCCATATTAAATGTAATGTTTACTTACTTATAAGAATACTTAGAAATCTAATATTAATAAACTACAAGTTCACCAAGTCACAACAATGTCATCAAGGCTAGATGGTGGCACTATAAAGAGCTCAAAAACACAAGATTGTTTACAACTCCTTTGCTGTTTACCATGAACTTGTGTATCTTACAATATGTCATGATACTTGGCTGCAGCTGCAAAAAAAATAGAAATTTTGGGGTATAGTGGAGATTTTAAAGAAATTACTTCACCTTCACTAAAACATTTATTACTCTTGAATGCTACATGAAATGTTCACAACATCACACATATTGGTTCAATTTGAAGTCACAGTTAAAAAAAGAACAGTGTATAAAATTTAACTTACAACAGTTTCTAGTAATAAATTAAGTATTTTTTTTACTATCTATCTATCTATCTATCTATCTATCTATCTATCTATCTATCTATCTATCTATCTATCTGTCTGTCTGTCTGTCTGTCTGTCTGTCTGTCTGTCTGTCTGTCTGTCTGTCTGTCAGTCCGTCCGTCCGTCCGTCCGTCCGTCCGTCCGTCCATCCATCCATCCATCCATCCATCCATCCATCCATCTATCTATCTATCTATCTATCTATCTATCTATCTATCTATCTATCTATCTATCTATCTATCTATCTATCTATCTATCTATCTTTCAACACAAAATAAATACTTAGCTTTTGTTATTAAACTAATAGACAGGGAATTTGTCATCTGTATTTATTATCAATTATTTTACAGTCCTAAATTGATTAGACAAGCAAAATAGTTTTTTTTTTTTTTTGTCAAATCTTTGTGGTTTAATTTTAGTATTACTTAATTTTAGTATGACTGATTTGTTCTTGTTAAATTACAGTTTTTCTTATTGGCTTTGGTGCATTTCTCACAACACTATTTACATTTGCACGTGAAATGTGAAACATACATATTCAGTGTCTTGTACTCAGATACCTCACTAAATGCAGTGATGTCTAACTTTAATGTAGTTTTCAAACGACTGCTGTTAGTGCTGTTTTGAGCATTTTCAGGAATTGTCACCAAAATCGACTGTTTTGCATTGGAAAACATTTAAACTGTCATAATAAAAACATGACAAAACCATTTGACTATCTTGTTCATAAACCATGGTGTCAGGATTTTTGAGAAATTAGCTATCCATTTTGAGACACACGTTTGGAGGTTATCAACTAGGTTTTGCAGTTTGCACTAATTGTTTTGAAAAATGCATTAACTGTTGTGGAAATGTAAATAATATTGTGAGAAATGCACCAAAGCCACTGAGAAAAACTTTTGTGAAGTCATGTGTAACGCAGGTAATTCCATTTTTATGAGTGATAAATTAAAGACATTATCATAAAACCCTAGTGACAAAGTAAAGTAGGCAGCTATAACATTTTTGTCAATGGCATAGCACAAATAAATATTATTTATAGAATTAAATAATTTATAGACTATTTTCCACTGGCTATACAGTCAAATTTATTTTCAAATTTGACGCACGAGTTAACAAGTCAAACACTAAAGCGTTTAAGGACCAAACACAACATACCGGTAGTTGAGTCCTGAAATCTTTTGTGTGGGGCAGCCAATAAAAAGAAGTGGAATCGCAAACATAATGCTTATGAAGACTGCTATCGTACACATCGCCGCAGAGGACCTGACAGTCAAACCCAGTCTGCGTAGAATAACCCCTCCAGCCATTATGCCAAACATGGCTGAAGGAATATTGATACCACCTGTGAATATACAGACAGACAAAAACAGATATAAAACAACATTTTTCACACACACACGCTCACACAAACATTTTTATGCATACATCTGATAGTTTGGGTGGTATTGTACAGGTTGACAAGCCCTAAACCACAGTACATGCCATTCTAAATCCCACCGAACAATACACAGTGAAAGATGTTACTCTCAGACAAAAAGCATCAATCTTCTTTTATGTTTTTTTCCCAGGTCTTAGCTTTTGAATCAGAGTGAGTTTAGTGACATGCTGTATTGTGTGCGGATTAGCAGTGGTCAATGAGTAATTCATAAGTTAGAAAAATAAGATATGCTTTCACTGGCCGCAAACACATAGCACCTATTGTTGGTTTCTGAAAGAGCTAAATATTTTCTTCTTGTATAAACACCTCAAAAAGGTATGCTTACATTCACAGAAAAAAAAGCTACTGATGCTGTCACTGGGTTCCTTTGGGTGGTTCCCCCTTAAAATACACTCATTTGTATCTAAAGGGTCCCTATTAGTACTTTATTTTGCACACTTATATTCACACTTTACTAGGTACTAGTGATGGGCATTCATTCATTCATGTGGTAAGCAAAATAATATTATGCCAAAGGGAAAAACAAGCTTATTTTGCTTACCCCATTGGCAGAGTATTTTGCTTGTTTTAAGGTAAAAATTACTTAATATTAGCAGATTATTTCTTAAAACAAGACAACATGTTTTGCTTGTCAAGAAAATTCTTCTCGAATTAAGAATTTTTAGGTATTTGGACTACAAACAAGACAAAAAAATCTAAGAAAAGCATTTTTTGCAGTGTTTGTACTACAGTATTTTTCTTATGTGAAATCATTGTCCATTGAAACTGTAATCCCCTTTTACTTGTCTTTGATGTGTTAATGGAAATAATGAACTCATTCTCTCATTGACTGTGATTTGTTGTGACTACTTGAACTTTTATTCAGCTATTTAGTTTTTAAAAGCTTATTAATCAAACTAAAAAGTAACTCGCATTACATTTTTGAAAAAGTAACTCAAATATTACTTAATTTTTAAAAGTAATGTGTTACATTTACTCGTTACTTAGAAAAGTAATGTTATTACATAACTTGCATTACTTGCAGTGGTGGAAAGAGTACTGAAAAATCATACTCATGTACCTTTACTTGCTCAAAAATGTAGTGCAAGTAGGAGGAATAGTATCTGTCATAAATATTACCTAAAGTATGAGTAAAAAGTAGCCATATTAAAAGTACTCCAGACTAGAGAGTATTGAGTATTACACTGTGAAAAGCTAATGCGTTTACATGCAACTTGTGCAGGGATGTGTAAACACAATATTCTGTAGTGCAATTGGTAATTATTTAAGCCCATCTGGCGAATTCAGTCATCATACAGTAAACATCCGCCATCTTCTCATCATTGACATGCAGTCTATACAGTCTCTGGGTCATTGTGTGTAAAGATTTTGGACATCTTCTTGGATACGTATAATACTTTCAAATGGTTTGCCCATGTCTTGAGATTGTTCAATATGGTGCGATTTACTTTCTATGTGTGATTTAATTGGACGGGAATCTTAGGACTGATTTGTCTACTCAGCCTGATCTCACGAGAAAACGTAAGTATTTTACGTTTTGCCAGTTTAGTGGCTAATACGTACGAATTCGTACGAGTTCAGTCGTACGAAATGGTACGATTTTAAAAAAGGAGGCGTGGCACCTGACCCCACCTCTAACCCCAACCGTCATTGGGGGATAAGCAAATCGTACTAAATTGTACGAATTAGATCGTACGAATTCATACGAATTCGCCACTAAATGAAAAAGTTACGAATTGCCGTGAGATTGTGTTGGTCTACTTTATCCAATCTCCATAGACAAGAACAAATAAAGTGACTGCGGGATGAAGGAAAGTAGTGGAGTAAAAGTACAGATCCTACAGCACTAAAATATATACTCAAAGGAAAGTAAAAGTACACATTTTTTTAAAACTACTTAGTACATTACAATTCCCGAGACAAACTACTCAATTACAGTTACTGGAGTATTTGTTACCTCACTTGTTACTCATTGAAAAGGTGACATGATTTTACCTTTATGTCTGAGAGTGCATGTTACTTCCACAACTTACCCATCATGATATTGGAAAAGGAGGCAGTCCGTGCAAACTGCTTCTCTATGAATTTGCCCATAAATGTTGCCAGTCCCGCAACCATGGCAGCAAGATTCACCTGAGCGAACACTACCAGCAGATAAATTGGGTTTCGCAGAGTCCTTAGAACAATTGTGGGAAAGCCTGAGATAATATGAGAAAGAAAATAAGTGTTAATAAATTCAGAAGAGCATCCAAAAAAGACAAGAAGGCTGTCCTTTGGAACTGTTTTAGTTAGTGGTTCTTGAACGTTTCGTTTTCAGAGTCAATATTTTACAAATGGAAATCCAAATCTGAATAATTTATTCTACAAATGAACAATAAATAAAACTTAACAACTAAATTAAAAAACTCAAATGTGTCAATATTGGATGTAGCATTGGGCAAGTTCTAAAATTATTACAAGAAAAACAATGAACAGATTTTTACAGAACATGACTGTTACGGGAATTATTTTTTCAGTAAAGAAAAAAACACTTGGCTTCTAATCAAACATCTGGTTCTGAATAAGTAGGTCAATTGTAGGATTGCATAACACAAACTTTATTTGGTTCACTACACATTAGTGTCATTACTGCTGCAAGAAAGAATTTTTTGAATATGACCCTCATTGTTTCAATATGACTTAAATGTGGAATGACTTTAATACAACAATCCAGTTGTAGTTTAGGTCATAAATATTTGTGTCACTCATTAAACGCCAGCAATGCAATTTGATCAGATGTCAAAACGCAATGAAAGCAAATCATACAGAATGTGCAAATAAACATACTGATACAATCAACTGATGGATAAGATGGCAAACACACTTTTTAAGAACTGTGTAAGAGACACCTCTTCAATCTGGTCAGTTTCGGGCTTCTTGTTTTGTATCATTTTCTCAGTTGATGGCTCCACAGGGGCTTCTTCGATCTCCTGAAGAGAGTAAAATCCACATTTATCTACTGAAATATCACTCTGAGCATAAGATCAGTGTAGACACCAATGACAGGAATGCATGTTATCATCCTTTTTTATCGTCTGATAATTTTGTTATCTGATATATATATATATATATATATATATATATATATATATATATATATATATATATATATATATATATATATATTTTTTTTTTTATTTTTTTTATTTTTTTTTTTTTTTTTTTTTTTTACTAAAAAGTTAGCACCAGCTTTCACTTGACCTTGAACATATATATGTGAAGCCTGTTTTTATACTCACAGATTTGCTTTGGAATTTTGCACCAATTCTGAAAAACTCATTTTGTACAAGAACATCTAGCTTAACACTTCATGGGAGGTTAGCTTGTTCTTTAACTAAGTTGAGCAAAAAAATATGAACAGGCTGAGGCATGCTCCCCTAGGACTCATGTTTCTTTCCTTGTTTTCACTTTTTCAACATATTCTCTGTGACCCCATTATGTTTTAGGAACAATGCCAACATCTTAACTGAAACCACAAGAACTCATATTCTACTACTTTACATCAAACAAATCACCACTGATTTTTATTTACAACTCATTTTCTCAAAATCCATCCAAAAGGCTACAAATTAAATGATAACAGTTTAATTTATGCCAGAATTCATGCTATTAACTACTGGCTTATTACCAGCCTTTTTATTAAGATATTAACTATTCATTAGTAGTTATATAAAGTATGATCTTATTGTGCATCCCTAAACTTATCCAAAACCTCAACCCAACTTCTACCTTACTAACTATTAGTAAACAGCTAATTAGTTTATCACGTGTTATTAAGTTTATGGTTTGTTAATATCATGACTTGTGTCCTAAACTAAAGGTTTACCAATGAAATTAACCTTATACGGTACATCACCTCTTTGGACATCTTTCTAGGGAAAAACAGGTATGGCAAAGATGTCAAGGAAAGAAGGGTGGCAGCTATCAGGAATCCCAACCACCAAGCACCAATCCATCTGGGGTCACCATGTTCTAATTTGTTTTCATCTGAAATGGAATAATGGTAAAGCATTCATCAAACATCACCACAAGAAGCTCAAACACATAGCTTTGCGCTTGCTTTTATTTCATAAACCAAGCAACGCTGGTAAACATGTTGAATCTTGAGGTCAACACTTTTATTTAGAATCAGTAGCTTGTCAAAACATACTCGTTTAGACATGTTAGTATAGCTGCTGATGGATTTATTTGTAATGGCGTACGACTTGAAACATTATGTGCATATTTGAAGTTATATCATGTCATATCAAACTTACTTAAAGACATCTTGTCTATGTCGACATACAAGCGAAGCACAGCAGATGACATGATGTAGCCAAAAGCTGGTCCAATTACGGTAACTGCAAAAAGTATGCCTGTAAAAAAAAACACAAGAGTTGAATAATTCTTGGATAAACCACCATATTATGGGAATACTGTATATAATCAATGTCCAATCAAACCTAGGTAGAAGGGTGAATTCCTCCTTTCTGCATAATCGTCTATGTAGGAAATGCCAAAAGGTTGTATTGGAACACCACCAATGCCCAGCAGTAACTGGCCCAGCAGAAGTATTGGATACACTCCCAATTGAGGGTCTGTATCATTTTGACTGCATGTCGGACTGGATTCTATGTCCTGTGTCTGGCAAAGGCTGGAGTTGAGTCTGGTATCTATGTTATAAATACACTCGGTTAATAAAGTGCTTTTTCGAAATATGTTAATCTCAAAGTTAACATTCTATGGAGACCCGGAAGGGAAATGATGGTGGAAAAAAAACGGTGGGAGAAAAAAAAAATGGGTGGGAGAAAAAGAAACTGAAAGAAAAAAAAATAAAATAAAATAATATATATATATATATATATATATATATATATATATATATATATATATATATATATATATATATATATATATGTATATATATATATGTATATATATGTATATATGTGTGTGTGTTTTTGTGTCCCCTCACAAAGATGTTTTGCGTTCCTTCGCAAAACTGTTGTTTGACAAACACTTCATGTTCACTTCATGCATGTCGTTTTTGCCGGAATTCTTCTGTATTTTAACATTCTATACCACTATCATCCTATCATTAAGTATTTTACCATATTTCTCAGATACTTTTTATCTTGAAAGCACATTCAAATGAATATAAAAATGTCAGCATTTACTTTCTATTCATCAAATCTATTCGGCGATCGCTGCCCTTCTAATTCAATCTCTGAATCAGTGAATGCATGTATAAACGCTGACTGATGGACACACTCCATATGATAAACTGATCCCAGATCAGCTTCTGTACATGCCAAGAGGACCTGGGATCGGGTGTGTGTTTAAACAGACAAATACATTAAATAATAATAATAATAATAATAATAATAATAATAATAATAATAATAAACATGTCCTGTCTGTTTTATTTTAAACACAACTCATTTTCTCTTATATGAACATAAACAGTTAGGCTACTAAAATAATCAAATGCTTTCATCAGCCTATAGATCTGCACATTTTTAAAGTGACACACCTCTGTTATCACATAAAACAAGAGATTTATTTGCTGCTCTTCACTTGTTTGCCAACAGAGATGTCACTTTAAATGGCATGTTAGAAGCTGATCTGGGATCAGCTTATCATACGAAGCGCATCAGTCTGTCAGCACTTATACAGTACATGCATTTGCTGATTCAGAGGTTGCATATGAAGGGAGATGATTGATGCATGAATAGAAAAGTGATGAATAGACAGTGAATCTTGACATTTCTATATTAGTTTTAATGTGCTTTCAATATTTAAAATATGAAAGAAATGTTGGAAAATACTTAATGATAGGATGAAAGTGGAATAGAATGGTAAAATACAGGAGAATAACAGCAAAAATGGGTTGACATGTATAAAGTGAACAGGAAGTATTTGTCAAACAACAGTTTTGCATTCTTTTATCTTTCATCTTTCAACATCTTCGTGGTCTATATCTATATATATATATATATATATATATATATATATATTTTTTTTTTTTTTTTTTTTTTTTTCCTATCCATTTTTTTCTCCCTCCCACTTTTTTTTTTCACCCATTTCTTTCCCCACACCATCACGTCCCTTCCAGGTCTCTGTAACATTCTGTCATTACTGACCTATGAGAATTTTTCATAATAACGCAATATTTTAATGATATCTGAAAAATGAGAAACTGAATATTTGTTCACCTGATGCTTCAAATAATGTTCATAAATATATTAAAACATAATGAGCAGTTTAATCCAAGAAGAAACCCAATCGTTTTTTGTGTGTGGGATTCAGATGTTCATTCGTGTTCATTGATCAATATTAGTATGTGGAAAGCACATGAAACCTGTTCATTATTAAGTGATCATACCTCTTTCGAAGACTTAAAATAAATAAAATAATTTGTCATTTATAACAAAGGTTTTTAGGCATCAGAGAATAAATATACTTTCAAAAGAATACTTTCAAATTTGATTAAAATTAATTTTATTTATGTTCTGAAGATGGACAAGAAGATCTGAAGTGTTAAACCATTTTAAAGGTAAATTTTGGGGGGAGAACTAAGCTTTAAAGTAAATTCTGGATGACCTAAAGAAAAAATGCATACTTACTGCTAATGAATTCTGTATATTCATACTTTTCGCTAATGAAGTGAGGCAGGGCAATGAGAAACACTCCCATGCTTGCAATCATTCCTCCGATTCCAATACATCTTGGTCGATGCACGCGACTCCCAAAGAAACTCACAAACACAATGAGAACTGTGTTCCCCACCTTCATTTAACAAAAGATTGCGTAACCAAATTTATTATAGAGCAGCAGTTGTACTTATACTAATGCAGTGACAATTTTATGTTAAGATTTGTGCCTGAACTTGTACATTTGCAATAAAATAACTGGTAACTAGGCAAGAACTGTTCCGCCTTCAGGCTATCAACACACAGGGTTAGCAACATCCATGCTTTTTATCCTTGCCTCATTGAAGGCTGCCAAAAGTCCTGACTTTGAACTGGAAAATCCGTATCTTTTCTCGATGGTGGTGATGGAAGCCTTCAGATAGCCCGACACCAGGAGCTGAGAAAGCTGGAGCATCCCATGACACAGTACAAAAAACTGAAACACAAACAGTTGAAGTCAGAATTATTAGCCCCTCTTTAAATTTTTTCTTGTTCTTCTATCGGCCCATACGATCATGGCCTCCCAAATCATCCCCTTCCACCGAATTGGCTCTATCACTGTCTCTCCACTCCACCAATAGCTGGTGTGTGGTGAGCGCACTGGCGCCGTTGTCCTGTGGCTGCCGTCGCATCATCCAAGTGGATGCTGCACACTGGTGTTGGTGTGGAGAGACCCCCCTCATGATTGTGAAGCGCTTTGGGTGTACGGCCATACACAATAAATGCGCCATATAAATACACATTACATTACATTACATTACAAATATTGACTAACAGAGCAAGGAAATGTTCACAGTATGAGTGATGATATTTTTTTCTTCTGGAAAAAGTCTTATTTGTTTTATTTCAGCTTAAAATCAAAGCATTTTTTTATTTTTTAAACACCTTTTAAACACATTTAAAGGTCAAAATTATTATCCCCTTTATTTTTTAATAGTCTAAAGAACAAACCATCATTATACAATAACTTGCCTAAATACCCTAAACTCCTTAGTTAACCTAATTAACCTAGTTAAGCCTTTAAAAGTCACTTTAAGCATTATAGAAGGGTCTTGAAAAATATCTAGTCAAATATTATGTAATCATCAGGGCAAAGATAAAATAAATCAGTTGTTAGAAAAGAGTTAATAAAACTATTATGATTAGAAATGTGTTGAAACAATCTGCTCTGTGTTAAACAGAAATTAGAGGAGGCTAATAATTAATTCAGGAGGCTAATAATGCTGACTTCAACTGTACAAAAATGATAAAGATGTACAGTATGTGTTTAGTAAAAACATTTCAGAGCATTTCATAAATACTCGGTTACATAAGAAAAACAGATTACAAGAAAAATATAACAATAAAAGGATATGCAGTGAATGCAAGGAAGTGTGAAGCCTATTGTCTAGGAAATCATCAGGGTTAGAGACTGAAGTCAGCAAACTTAACACTAAACAGAGTGTTGCCAAAAGGAAATTTAAAGTTGGCACAAAAATTTAATTTAGCCTGTTATTTTCTAAAAGCATTTTAAGGGTCTGGAAATTCAAATACATTGTAAACAGTGACCACACCGAGTAGTTACAGGGTCTCAGTTGTAAGAAATGATTACTCGGCCTGGTTCCCTAGGAACTAATTTCCCCCTTGACCATTTTCTTGCTTGCATTTGCATTGTCAGAAGGACTCAGAAGTGACATATTTACAGTAAAAAAAAACTTACCCCTCAACATTGTTTAGTTGAATCAAATAAAATTGTCGGTAACACTTTATTTTGATGGTCCATTTGGGTATTAGTAGACTGCCTGCTTAATATCTGTTGATACTGCTCCTTCAACAGATATTTAACTGACTGTAAGAAACTTTGCAAGTACATGTCAATTTACACTAACTCTAACTCTTGACTCCAACCCTAACCCCAACCTAACAGTCTACCTATAATCTAATGGGAATTAGTTGGAATGTAGATGCAATGTAACGTTTAATCAACATACAGACCATCAAAATAAAGTTTAACCAAATGTTCTAGTTATTTCAACTTACATTAGTCAAACTGACTAAAAATATTGAGTTATTAAAATAAGTTGAAGTAATATAAAACATTTGTTTTCATGACTTTTTGGCATATTATGTTTTTACAGGGTACAGGGTTGTGAAAAGTGGAGGATGGACGACAGCAAGTTAAAAGCTGTGTTTTCATTGTGTCCAGTGTTTTTTTGAAGATGTAATGTTCTGTTGTGAGTTATAAATCAACTGTGACAATGTGTAGCTGAACATATAATGGGTTTAGAATAGAACCTACTGCCACAGACAAATGTGAGAAGTAAATTCAACATTAACTTTCTAAATGTGTGTTTGTAACACTTTATGATACAGCTGCTATTGTTTTGTCTTGCATGTGCTCCATCAGTACACCCAAGATGTCACTTTAGTTCCAATTGTGCTGGATTAGATCCTGCTCTGTGGTTTGAGTTAATTTATAGTAATTCCCCTAGATGGTTTTCTTAGATCTAAAATCATACCCAGATTTCTTAGAAAAAAAAAATTACTTCTGCAAGTTGTTATGGGAACTGTGAAAAGTTTAAACAATATTTAATGTGACCCTGGACCAAAGCCAGCCTTTGAGCCTTTGTTCGACATGACAAGATACAAGTAACAATCAATTTGGCTGCCCACACAACATAAACATCAAATACAGCCATTCAGAAGTGCAGCAGAATAGTGCACTGCAATCCTAACGAAATGGTGAGATTTGCAATCTAATATATATTAAACCCTCACACTCTCACTTTACTTTGGCCTAGTCCATAATTCACCAGGGGTCATCACAGGGGAATGAATCACCAATAACTCTGGCATTAGTTTTATGCGGCAGATGCCCATTCAGATGCAACCCAACACTGATAGCACACTGAACTCACAATGCTGGGAAACACCCATACACTCACTCACACATACACACTCATGCACAAATTTTACTTCATAAATGTAAGTATATCTCCCACTCTCCAAAACATATCAAAAGTCAATTTTTAGTCAGTATTGTATATTACTTAGCACTTCATTTAGACAAATGGCTTTTAGAGGTTTTTCCATCTATACTCTTCATGTATACAGTTGAATTCAGAATTAATAGCCCTCCTTTGAAGTTATTAATTTCTTCTTTTTTTTTTTTTTTTTTTTTACTTTTCCCAAATAATGTTTAACAGAGCAAGGAAATTTTCACAGTATGTCTGATAATATGTTTGTCTTCTGGAGAAAGTCTTATTTGTTTTATTTCAGCTAAACCAAAAGCAGTTTTAAATTATTTTAGATACCATTTTAAGTTCGGAATTATTAGCCCATTTAAGCTATATATTTGTTCAATAGTCTACAGAACAAAACATTATAATTGTAACTAACCTAATTAACCTAAGCCTTTAAATTTCACCTTAAGCTGTATAGAATTGTCTTGAAAAATATCTAGTAAAATATTATTTACCGTCATCATGGCAAATAAAAAATGAATCAGTTATTAGAAATGAGTTATTAAAATTATTATGTTTAGAAAAGTGTTTAAAAAAAATCTTCTGTCTGTTAAACAGAAATTGGGGGGAAAATAAACATGGGGGGGGGGTTAATTTTTACTTCAACTCTATATATAACCCTCAGAATCCAGATTTTCGAATAGTTATAAAACCATAAATTAACAAATGTAAAGTATTAATCTCCATATCAAAAATTGAGTCTTATGACCAGGGTCCAGGGTCACAAATGTTAAAGGTACACAGAGTAACTTTTATTAAAAGTTTTATTAAATTAAAATAAAAAGGATACGTCTTATGGGAAAACATGATTTTGGTCATTTTTCATCTTTGCACAGATAAGCATATAGTTCATAGAACCAGTACACAAAAAAGTAATCTGAGAGGATAACTATTATACTGGTGCTATAGGTAACTTGAGTAAGAAAGCTCAAGAAATAACATGTTTAGATGTTCTGTAGAGTGTCTCATGTTGACAGCTGAAGATGTTATCAGTTTGGTGCATTTGGTTTATAATTTTGCTTAAAAATAAAAACCACTTCAGCACAACAATTCGTAATGAAATTCCTAATATAATGAGTCATGCTATGAACCTGTTAGAGCTAGGTTTATAAAATAATTTGATTGTTTTAAGATTGAAATGAACCACTGCACATTCATATTTATCAAGAACAAGCAAAGCATAGGAAAAAATATTCACATCCTCACAAAAAAATACCATTGTTACTATTGCTTCTATATTTGCTTTCATGAACAGTAGCCAATAGTGTTTACACCAAAAATTTATATAAAACAACTGAACAAACCTAAAGGAGTACCAAAATATTTTAAAAGGAATATAATTAGTGTCTAAATTCATGACATAATTCTATATGAATACCCTGGTCACAGGTAGTGAAACAATAAAGGATGAAACTCTTTGTGTTGATTCTGGTTTTATTACAGACAGTTTCCTTTTTTGCTTGCAGAAAATAGTCACATCATCTTACTATATACTGTAGACCTTTCAGATTTATTCTACTTGCACATCATTCTACCACATACAATAAGTACAGGCTTAGTCTACTACATAAATCTGTTAACCAATATGATACGACACACACAGTTAAATGATGGAAAGCATGATGGATTAAATTCAATTTTACTAATTTAGCGAATTGTTACTTTAAATTTGCTTTTTTATTTATTTATTTATTTTATTTTAAAAATTATCTTTAAAAAGAAGCTAACGAGCACCAAAACATGTACACAAAATCATTAGCCCTCTTATTATGTTAATTATTGCTCTTTAATGAGAAAATTTTTTTCAACACATTTTGAAACTTAATAGTTTTAATAATTAATTTGATTTGTCTATCTCACGATGACAGTACATAATATTTTACTAATCCTTTGACTAAAAGGGGGTTAACAATATTGACATTAAAATTTATAAATTTATATGGCAGTATATCGGCGCTGGTGGGGGCGTGTGTTGGCGTCCCACCAGTGACGATATACAGCCATATTGCACTGCTACGGGTGTGACATTGCGTTTATACAACAGTTCGAAAGCATAATCATGTATATGAAAAAGAAATTCAAACACAGGGTCTCAAAAATCCTATTTTATGAGGAACTACTTTCTTCCATTATGCATTGACATCTGCAGTTAACAGTAAGAAACCGTTGCTTTAAAACACGTCACTTTAGAGCTAGCTCCCTAACGTACTGTCTAAAATGATGACAAAACGGGTGATTTTGCTCACATGAAACGCCATCAGTCTACAGATATTTCCCAGTATTTCTCTGTTGCCATTAGGAGATCACATCAATTAACCCCAAAACAAAAGCTAAAGCAAAACAAACACTAGCAGATTACTATAGTATAAATACAGCACTACAACATACAAAAGAGAGAGAGAGATCAACTTAGAATGTCACCTATCTGTCTTATGATTTGATCAGCTGTAGTTTAAAATACAAAAAAAAAAAAAAAATAGCTGAGTTTTTCTTCTAAACAACTATATTCTCACCTAAAAAAAAGCCTCAAACGTACTTTATGTTGTCCAACAGCTGCAAGTTTTGTCAAACTGTAGTGAGTCCATTGATCTGCTTTCACTCTTTGTGGGGGTGGAGTAATACACCAGAGTGAAAAGGCTGTAAGAGCGATGTTATTGCAGAATATCGCAGATATATCAGGTTCAAAAACCAGACAGAACTGTTGTATAATTATGTATAGCTTTTATTTTATTTTATTTATTTTATTTTTCCAAATAAAATAAATAATTTCTCCAGAAGGAAAAAAATTAAAAAACCTGCAAAAAATATATTTCTCTTTTAAACACTTTACTTGATAAATATTTGATAAAGAATTGTTGAAATTACCTTCAACTATATGATGCACATCTTGTGGTAAGCTGTGCAATATTTATTTATTTTAAGCTGTGCACCTTTATTTAAGAAGTCATATTTCTATGGATTCAATTAAGGCTGTTAGTTATATTGAGAAACATACCTTGATATTGTTGAAGAGACCCATTGATCTACGAGGTCGCGCTGTCTGTGGGTTTCCTTGGGGTTCGAATGCTGTCATTTTGTATTGTTCTGGCAGAATAAAAGTAAAAATAAAAAGAGTTTTCCTCAATAACACAAAAAGACATCCTTAGGGCATTCTCTGTTATCGCTCTTTTCAACGGTAATCTAGAAAAATAAAAGCTATAATCTTTAATTACCTGCAAGTTGTTTCCTGCATGCTATTTAAAGCAGAAAATGGTTGCATTCTTAAACTAAAATAGCACTATGCGTACATCATTTTCTGATGTAGAGTATAGACAGCTATTTTAAAGATGACATTTTAATGATGATATATATTTAAACTCCAAACATATGTAATAAAAATATTATGTAAACTTTAAAGTGCTTGGCTGCCTTCTTTAAAATTTTGCACCGTTTACTCCACAGATGGTTCTTGTGAATTGGCAGAGAAGCTGACTGATGTCATTGAGCAAGACTTTACTCAAAATGGGTCTCTGTCTTCGCAAAATCTGTTCTGGTTTTGATTCAGCACTTTCAATTAATCTTACTCAGCAACAAAATAAAAGTATTGTCAAGAGTGTGTCCAATTTTAAGCACAGTTTCTTTTATTTTTACATGTTTCCAATTAAAGAGCCTAGTGAAGAATATCTGGAAAAGTTGTTTTAAATAAGTACATTAATTTCTCTCCAGAATAAAACAAATATCCACAATAATATAAACTGCATGCGTATTCTCAATCTTAAGCACATGAACTAGTCCAACCATGATTTACTACTATCACTAGTGCTATTTCACAGTTCTCACATTTCCATTAGCATGCAAGGAACACGTGTTCATGAATGAACAGAATTGTACTTACAGCTGTGGCTGAGACTGAAGAGCTGGAGAAAGTCCACATTACTTTCACTTGTGGGAAGTTAAGAGCTTTTTCTTGGGTGGAGTTTAGGATTGTGCAATCTCAGTTTTGGATGCACGACTGATGAAGAAAGAAAGAAAGAAAGAAAGTACAATTATTGCAATTTACTATATTACTGTTTTGCACCGAAAGTGTTTACATTGTTGATAACAATTTACAATAAGGTTTTTGTATTTATTAACACACAATGAACACAATGAACAATACGTTTATTACAGTTTTATTTTATTGATGTTTGTTAACAATAATTAATAAACATAAAGTCACAGTGCATTAACTGACATTAACAAGTACAAATTTGAAATTTAATAAATCATTAGTTGACATTGAACTAAGATTAATGAATGCTGTACAAGTGTTGTTCATTCTTAGTTCATGTTAATACATTAACTAACATAATTAATCAATGTCTTACATTTGAAAGCAAGAAAGGATCTCTCAAACCAATCAATAAGTCGTTAATTGATCAATCACAATGTTTGCAAAATGATGTTAAACATATGGTTAATGCTGCACACACAGAAGACTTCACAAACTTCAAAAAAAAAAAAAAAAAAAAAACACACACACAACGTGAGCAATACCCCAAGACAACTAGCAGGTGGAGACAAAGTACACTTTTAAACCTCAATTCTTTAAAAAAAAAAACTTTACATTACCTATATCTCCCTACAGTATATGACACAGTTGCATAGTATTATTCATTTTAAAGATATGTTTGTGTGGCTGTGAGTGTGTTTTAATGGGTATCCATGTAAGAATGTTTTAACAATATTTTATGAAATGATTTTTGTTTTTCTTATTTTATTTTCCATGTAGTACAAACTGTTTTAAAAAGTCTATCTTTACAAATAAAATAAAACAGTCAACTTTACCCTAGAAAATAGAGTTGAGATCAAAATTAAGTATAAACATAAATCAATGTCTAAACAATCAAATAATGTGTATGAACGAATAATGTAATGTCCATCATTTAAAGTTCAACAAAAACAAACAAACCGGGATATGTATACTATATATAATGTAATCTTCATCCTTCAAATATTAAAGAAATTTTAATATGCTACAAAAAACAAGGCTTTTCAACAAAACCCTTTGTTTTATGCTCATTGCTCAATGTACTGCATGAAAACTGCTGGCCGATGAACACAGAAGAAACCGCATGCTGTTGAAGGAGTCTCTGAAGAATATTAAATTGATTTACTCATTCAAGTAACTTTTTAAGAGGCCAAACTTCTGCTGTGGGAAACTTCACCTAAACCATGAAACATCAATCTCCACCTACACTGTTTTTTCTACACACACTTAGCATTCAGACTTTTCCCAGTTAAGATTACCTAAACCATTTGAAATCAAAAACGAATCCTAATGAGTATTGTGAACTTAATCCATTTGAGCACAGCAATTTGAGCACAGTAAAACCCAATAAATGAAGAGAACTCAAACCAACTGAGTACTAACAGATGGATGGGGCAACCATTACTGCATCCAAAATGGTAAAAAACCTTGGAGCAACAATTGATGACCGACTAAACTTCTCTGACCACATTTCTAGAACTGCTCGATCGTGCAGATTCGCACTCTATAACATCAGAAAGATCCGACCCTTCTTAGCTGAACATGCAGCTCAACTCCTTGTTCAAGCTCTTGTTCTCTCCAGACTGGACTATTGCAAATCTCTACTAGCTGGGCTTCCAGCTAACTCTATCAAGCCTCTTCAGCAGCTCCAGAACGCAGCAGCACGAGTGGTCTTCAATGAACCTAAAAGAGCACATGTCTCTCCGCTGCTCATCCATTTGCACTGGCTGCCAGTTGCTGCTCGCATCAAATTCAAAGCTCTGATGTTTGCCTACAAAGTGACTTCTGGCCTTGCTCCTTCTTATCTGCTCTCACTTCTGCAGATCTATGTGCCCTCCAGAAACTTGCGTTCTGTGAATGAACGTCGCCTCGTGGTTCCATCCCAAAGAGGGAAGAAATCACTTTCCCGAACGCTCGCGTTCAATCTGCCCAGTTGGTGGAATGAACTCCCTAACTGCATCAGAACGGCAGAGTCACTCGCTATTTTCAAGAAACGACTAAAAACTCAACTATTTAGTCTCCACTTCCCTTCCTAATCTGCAATTGCCTCTCTGGATATACCACTAACTGTACTCAAAAAATAAATAAATAATAATTACTAATACTTTCCTTCTTAGACTTTACAGATCTGAAACTTGCCTATAGCACTTATTCATTGTTGCTCTTATAGTTGTGTAAATTGCTTCCTTGTCCTCATTTGTAAGTCGCTTTGGATAAAAGCGTCTGCTAAATTACTAAATGTAAAATGTAAATGTACTGTAAAACCCAATAAGTTAAGGCAGCTTAATCCGTTCAAGGGAAACTGATTGCAACAAACCATTTAAGTAAAAAAAAAATCTATTTGAGGACTGTGAACTTTCATCATTTAAGTTTAAGTAATGAGGCATTTAATTACCTCATTACCTTTAACACTAAGTTCCAAACTCTTTTCAAATGAGTAGAATTATCTTTCAGCATATTGTGAGTTACTACACTCATTTAATTTGATAAAGTTGACTGTAAAGGTACGGTGACCGAGAGAGCTTAACATGCTGCATTTTAAGATAAAACATGCAATTACAAAAACTGCCAGCAAATTAAGAAAAGATCTGGTCCCACTTTATATTAAGTGGCCTTAACTAATATGTACTTATACAGGAATTAATAGTTTGTTACAATGTACTTATTGTGTAAATACATGTAATTACTGTGTACTTATGCTTGATTAAATACATGTATGTAATTACATCTGTAATTAACTTTTGTAATTACATTTGTAAATACACTGTTGACCATTCCTTACACCTCAACCCGCCCTTAAACCTACCCATGCCACCAAACCTGTCCATAACCCAACCTCTATCCCAACTCAAAAGCACCACGTGTTCTCAAATACATTATAAACACAGTAAGTACATTGTATTTATTTTTTGAAGTCAGTACATAGTAGTTAAGAACACTTAATATAAAGTGGGACCAAAGATCTTCAGTAATTTGACAGCACACGTGCTGCAAATCCTCACAATGCAAACATATTTTTAACCCTTTGTTGCACAACATGGATCCAAAGTAACCCGTCTAAGCTTATTTTTTCTATATCTGTTTTATAGCTTGTGCATCAAAGGGTTAAAAAAATGTTTTGCATTTTCACACAATGCAAACAATTAATAAAACCCACTGTGTTTTCTCACAACACAAACATTTAACGGAAACGTTCTGCTAAAATGTGACAGACCCGGCTAATTAGGTTATGGTTATTTCGGCTAATAAATATTAAAAACACAGGAGTTGGGATCTTAAAATAAACAAATAAAAGAACTCACTTTTCAAAGATCACCTAAAACTTCACAAAGCAATACTCATGGCACATCAGCGTTCATCACGTTTTTGGGTCCCCTTGAAACATTTCTGCTGTGTTCCGATGTGTTTGTGTTGTGAGAAAATGCAGTGTGTTTTCGTAAAATGTTTGCATTGTGTTTGTGTGTTCTCTAAAATTGCAGCACAATAAGCTCCCCCGGCCACCATACTAGTGTGAACTTTGGACCAATTTTGTGCCCACACAACATGTTTCCCGAAGTTAGTCTAGTCCAGAGGTGTCCAAACTTGTCAACACACCTGTCTTAGCTAATTCGGCTAATGAACTTGATTGAGTTAAGAAAAAATGTATTCACTGGCACTGTCACCATCTTGCTAAGTCAATGGAATCTGAAAAGTTAAATAGGGTTTGTCGGATAATTAAGAAAATTACTACCAGGCGCTAGATTAACACCTTATGAACAGTATAACTGGAAACACAGTATCTGGAAACGTTTTCTTGTTTGGATCACTGCTTTTAAAACATCTCATTTAAGTCACAGTGTGTTTCAGAATTTATATAACTTGTATACACACATTCATATATATATATATTTATTGTGTATAGTTGGAGTCAGAATTATTAGCCCCCCTGAATTATTAGCCCACCTGTATATATATATATATATATATATATATATATATATATATATATATATATATATATTTTTTTTTTTTATTATTATTTTTTTTTCCCAATTCCTGTATAACGGAGAGAAGACTGTGAAAGATTTTTTTTCAACACATTTCTAAACATAAGTTTTAAAACTATAGTTTGTTCTGTAGACTATCGAAACAAAATATAGCTTAAAAGGGCTAATCATTTTGACCTTAAAATGTTTTTTTTATTATTTAAAAAATGTTTTTATTCTACCCAAAATAAAACAAATAAGACTTTCTCCAAAAGAAAAATATATTATCTGACATACTGTACAAAATTCATTGCTCTATTAAACATCATTTGGGAAATGTTTAAAAAAAAATCAAAAGTGGCAAATAACTCTGACTTCATATATATATATAGACCCGGCTAATTAGGTTATGGTTATTTCGGCTAATAAATATTAAAAACACAGGAGTTGGGATCTTAAAATAAACAAATAAAAGAACTCACTTTTCAAAGATCACCTAAAACTTCACAAAGCAATACTCATGGCACATCAGCGTTCATCACGTTTTTGGGTCCCCTTGAAACATTTCTGCTGTGTTCCGATGTGTTTGTGTTGTGAGAAAATGCAGTGTGTTTTCGTAAAATGTTTGCATTGTGTTTGTGTGTTCTCTAAAATTGCAGCACAATAAGCTCCCCCGGCCACCATACTAGTGTGAACTTTGGACCAATTTTGTGCCCACACAACATGTTTCCCGAAGTTAGTCTAGTCCAGAGGTGTCCAAACTTGTCAACACACCTGTCTTAGCTAATTCGGCTAATGAACTTGATTGAGTTAAGAAAAAATGTATTCACTGGCACTGTCACCATCTTGCTAAGTCAATGGAATCTGAAAAGTTAAATAGGGTTTGTCGGATAATTAAGAAAATTACTACCAGGCGCTAGATTAACACCTTATGAACAGTATAACTGGAAACACAGTATCTGGAAACGTTTTCTTGTTTGGATCACTGCTTTTAAAACATCTCATTTAAGTCACAGT